GTCTTTTGTTTGATACTCCTCTTGATTTGATTTACCACTAACTGGGAGTCGCTGAAGACCTTGATGTGGGTGGCCCCCAGTCCTTTGGCAACACGGAGTCCTGCAAGAAGCGCTTCATACTCGGCCTCGTTGTTTGAAGTCCTGAAGTTGAAACGCATGGCATACTCGAACCGCATGCCATCTGGTGCGAGCAAGAGGATTCCCGCTCCACACCCACTTTCGTTGGAGAATCCATTTACATAGATCGTCCATGAGAGGTCAGACTCGACGGACAGAGATGGCGGAGTGAGCTCCGCGATGAAGTCTACGACTGCTTGCCCTTTCAACGCAGTTCTGGGCCCGAACTGGATATCGTACTCGCTCAACTCCATTGCCCACTTCATCAGGCGTCCTGACGTTTCTGGCTTGTGGAAGATGTTCTTCAGCGCAAGTTAGTAAGCACCACAATGGTGTGTGCTTGGAAATACGGCCTAAGTCTTCGGGCCGAGGTGACCAAAGCGAGGGCCAGCTTCTCCATTTGTGGATACCTGGTCTCAGCCTCGGTCATGGCCTTACTTGTGTAATAAACTGGACTTTGGCACACTCTATCTTGCTTGATTAGGGTCAAGCTGACGGCACTATTGGATACCGCTAGGTACAAATGGAGCTTGTCTTCCAGCAAGGGCTTGGCGAGCAGTGGTGCTGAGCAGAGATAGGTCTTTAATCGTTCCAGTGCTTGCTCGCACTCTGTCGTCCATTCAAATGGCCCCTTCTTTCTCGAGACTTTGAAGAAAGGAAGGCACTTATCTGTTGATCTCGAGACGAATCTATTCAGAGCTGCAATCTTTCCATTGAGGCACTGAAGCTGCTTAACAGTTTTAGGTGCTTCCTCTCGAGCACGGCCTTTATCTTTTCTGGGTTAGCTTCGATCCTACGGTTATTTACCATGAAGCCTATAAACTTACCTGAGGAGACTCCAAAGGCACACTTGGCTGGATTAAGCTTCATTCGATACTTTCGTAGAACTTCGAAGGCTTCGGTCAAATCGGAAAGATGCGACTTTGACTGCTTGCTCTTGACAAACATATCGTCCACATATACTTCCATATTCCGACCGATCTGCTTGGCGAACATCTTATTCACCATTCTTTGGTAGGTCGCACCTATGTTCTTTAGGCCGAAGGGCATAACCTTATAGCAGTACAGACCTCGGTCTGTTCTAAACGCGGTATGATCTTGATCTGGCACATGCATTTTAATTTGATTGTATCCAGAGTAGGCATCCATGAAGGTGAGCAGCTCGTGCCCGACAGTTGCATCTACGAGCTGGTCGATCCTCTGCAGTGGGAAACAATCTTTTGGGCATGCCTTATTTAGATTTGTAAAATCTACGCACATTCTCCACTTCCCGCTTGCTTTTTTAACTAGTACAACATTAGAGAGTCACTCAGGATATAGAATTTCTCTTATATATTCAGCTTTTAAAAGTTTGTTTACTTCGTCAACAATTACATCACTCTTCTCCTTATTTACAGGTCTTCTTTTTTGCTTTACAGGTCGGAATGATGGGTCTATGTTGAGGCGATGCACCATGATCTTTGGGTCTATGCCAGGCATGTCCTCGTGGGACCATGCAAAAACGTCAGAGTTGGTCCTGAGGAAGTTGATCAGCTTCTCCCTATCAGTGGCCCCCAGCTTGGTTCCTATGCTTACTTGTTTTTCAGAGCTAAGCAAAGGAACAGGCTCGAGCTCCTCTTTTGGGGGAGAGAACTCCCTTTTGCTTTCCCTGGGTAGGTCGGCCTTTGATTCTTGCTTCTTGGTCTAATCAGCT